CCAAGCACCCAGGCACAGTGACACATACCTGTAATCTCCACAGTTGGGAGATGAAGGTAGGAGGCTCTTTATAAAGTTGAAGCTATAGCCAGGCAGGGATGGTGCACACGCCTTTAAGCCCAGCACTCGGGAGGCAGAGGCAGGCAAATCTCTGTGAGTTCGAGGCCAGCCTGGTCTACAGAGTGAGTTCCAGGACAGCCAAGGCTGCACAGAGAAACCCTGTCTGGAAAAACCAAGACCAAAACAAAGCAGCCACAACAAAGCACCTCTGAGGCTCTCCTGGTTTACACCCTCAGCTCACTGGCCTATTCCCACTCTTTTTTGTGCATACGTGTGAGCAGAGTGCACACTTGGGTGTTGGCTCTTGCCTACCATGTGGATCCTGGGGATCAAACTCAGGTCATGAGGGTCAGCAGCAAGTGTCTTGACTTGGTGTGTCTCTTGGCCTGCCCTTGCCTCTACTTCCCATTTTGGGGAGTGATTTCTTTCTCTTTTCTTCTTCTTCCTTTTGGTTTTTGGAGACAGGGTTTTCTCTGTGTAGCCCTGGCTGTCCTGGATCTCGCTCTGTAGCACAGGCTGTCCTGGAACTCACTGAGATCCACCTGCCTCTGCCTCTGGAGTGCTGGGATTAAAGGCCTGTGCCACCACTGCCCCTGTAATGTAAAAGAATTTCCAATTCTTTAAAAAAGGAAAAAAAAAAAAAAAGGTTTGGTGGCTCATGCCTGTAATTCCCAAGACTTGGGAAGCCAAAGCCGGGGTGTGGGGGGGGATTGCAACGAATTTGAGACCAGCCTGGGCTATACAGAGAGTGTCAGGCCATCATAGGCTATAAAGTGAGACCCTGGGTCAGCACAACAGTAGAAACAAAAGGAGGAGCTGGAGAGGTAGTTTGAGTCCACAAAGGGCTTACCTTGCGAGTTCGAGAACTAAATTGTATTCCCGCCTCCAGAATCCACATACAAATGCTCCCCGAGCCAGTGAGAGGAGGGCTCAGCGGGTAAGGGCACTTGCCTCCAAGTCTGTCCCCCTGAGTTGGATCCCCTGTCCCACGTGGTGGAAGGAGAGAGCCACCGCCTCAAAGCTGTCCCTTAACCTCCAGGGAGGTGCCATGGCATGTGCACCTCCCCAAAATAAATAAGGACATGCGATAACTATCTTAAGGGCCTGGAAAGGTGGTTCAGTGGTTAAGAGGCAGAGGACTTTCGGCTGCTGAAAACCCACAAAGAGCGGTTTGCAGCCACTCATAACTCCAGCTTAAGGTGAGCCAATGGAGGGCCGAGCCCACATTAACATGACGTGGTATACGTACATACATGTAGGCACTCATACATACACATAAAAAGAATAAATAAGCAAATCTGAAACTAAAATAGAATGAAAGTAAGAAAGGGGGGGGGACCAGTAAAAGACCTCTGCAAACTGTCCCCTCTCTCCACAGGACCAGTCTGGAAGCCGGCTTACAGGTGAGCCATCTCTGTGAAAGGCTGGGCCGTCTTCCTCTGCATGTCAGGTACCCTCCCTCAAAGCCTGGGTGGAGCTCAAACACTTCGAAAGGTTCTGGTGCACTCCCTGGCTGAGCTCGCCCTGTCCTTAGAGTCTGCCCCATGTCAGTC